TATAGTGAAATTTGTTAGTTTGAAAGGATTCGTGTTTGGAGTGTTGCTCATAACCCATGTTGGCCTATGATAGTATTTGAGTTTTGGAAGGAACTGCTATAGTAATTGCCATCTACATTAGACTTTTGGCAGGTGGTGTTAATATGAAACACTGATAGTTGAAATCCATTGGTGGAATAATTGGAAATTACCATTTTATGGTTCAAAAATGACCCAAGTACTTAGAATTTCCTAGGATTGAATCTAATTTTGATTTATACCTATTTACTATAGAAATTCAATAAAGAGTTTAAACATCCAGAAAATCCCTAATTACTGGGTGATAGTACCAATCTATGAGTAGTAACTTAAAAAGGGTTTATCAGGGCAAGGTGTGGTGCCACATGCCCGTTATCCTCGCACCCGGAGGCTGAAGTAGGATTGTCTGTTGAAACTTGCCCAGTGTGAAAGCCCTGTGTTCAGCTTCCAGTACCATCAAAACAAAAAAACTGGATTCAGATTTATGTCTTATAAGTACTAAGTCTCTTGGGACAACTGTGATGTAGCTTTATAATTTTCTAGTCTCTTGCTCTGGTAATTTGAAAAGCTCTTAGAAATATACAGTTGGGATACAGTTGAGTAACTTTCTCTGGCTTCAGTTTAATCCAGCTGGAGTACCAGGTTTCTTGATCTCTTTAGGGCCCTCCCAATATTAATGTAACTTGAGTCTACACATGTATCAGATTCTCCATGGCATTTAACCATGTGGCCAAGTACTTTGAGAAGTGGTATGAGAGTTAAAAATGTGTGTTTTATATATGTAAGCATCCCAGATATTTCCAATCAGGCCAAACATGAAAATGATGGCAAAATAACTTTTTATAAGTATGCCACTCAGTAGCTCCTTTGTCTTCTTTGCATTTCAGTCATTGAGTTTTCTTTTTTTGAGTGTTTTGTGGAAGTTTGTACCCTTTTAATGAGTTAACTATAAAACATACCTACTAGTTTTCTTGAAAATATATTCCAACAGGGTGTTTTTTTTTTTTTTTTTTGGTTTGTTTTGTACCAGGGCTTGAACTCAACCTTGCAGTTGCAAGACAGGTACTTTGAGTTAAATACCTGGTCCTGTAACAGTTTTCTAGATTTATATTTAACGGTGCCTAGAACTTTTCAATTTTGAGCTACATTTTTCAAATGATTTACTGTTTTCAAGAAAACGTAAATGTCAAATTCCATTAACTAAACACAAGGTGGATGTGAACACGCTCCAGACTCACTCTGTGATTGGGTCAGGAATCTTACTAACAAGATAAAAATGCTGCTTTTATTGTGTTCAGAGAACAGTTTATTCTAGGAAAAAACAGCACCCTGCACCATAGTAAAACAAAAAACAATATTGATCAGCTGTGATTGCTGGAACTCATGGTTACTCAGTCCAGGATTTGAACAAAAAAAACTAGGATATGTAAGATACTGTCTTTAATGTTGTTTACCTCAGACTTAGATTTTTCTACCCTATTCTGTCCTTTGAAAATTCTTAGCCAAGCTTTACATTCTCATCAGGATTAGTGTGTGAATGTTCCATTTATGCTTAGGATGACTTTCACAGAAGTCTGAACTTCAAAACAATTTTATAGGTGATGACCCTCATCAGTTTAAAAACCTCAACCCAGTGTTGTAGAGTAAATCTCTACTGATCTTTGAAATTCTAAGCATTCTGCCTGTAAAGTTTTTAAATATTTTTGATGAAAGGGTTTTTTCCTCCCAAGTTAGGGTATGCATTTTCAGAGTACTGAACATTAGCTTATCAAATTGGCATAGTTAATATGTTAAAGGTTTTACTATGTGTAAAAAATTTAGAGCAACTAGAGATGGCAGAGAAAAACAACTAAGTTTCCCAAAACAGGTCAGATGTGGTACATGCACATCCCAGCACTTGCAGGCTAAGGCAGAAGGATTGCTGAATTCAAGGCCTGCCTGAACTGCATAGTGAAACCTTGTTTCGAAAAAGACAAAAATACAAGATTTTCTAGAATAAGCAGTTTCCAGAATAAGATAGCAGGTAAGATATTTACATGCCACCTGTTTTTCACACAAGGTTGTCAGCAGGTCTTCAGTGGTGGTTTATGCAGTAGTGATCTGTATGATGGCTATTTTTGTTTAAATGCTTCCATAAGTACTCCCATAATCTGAAAAATACTTGAAAGTAAGGGACTTTGCCTAAATTTCAAGAGGGGAAAACAATTCATTGCCACAATTCATTGCCTAACGAAACAGTTTTTATACAGCATTTTAGGATCAGTGATAGCCAGTGAAAACAAAATCAAGGGGCTGAGACACCAAAATCTTTTATGCCAAATCTATTAGAAATATAGACATGACCTGTCCTGGGTGCCTCTCACCCTCGCAGTATCTATTGAGAGCCAATAGAGAAACAAGTTGTAAACAAACATGGAGACACTCTGCTTAATTTCACTAGTTACATGACTTTGTTTCCCTAGCTGCAAAGCATGCTGGGAATTATACTACCAAGTTGTCCACTCATCCTTTTTTTTCAGATGAGGTAGCATTAGCCTTGAAGCACTTGCTAAAAGCCACTTAGCTATTACAGAAATTTGACTTTTAATTCTGCCCCTAGTTTTTTTGTGTTTTGTCTTTTTCTATTAGCTGTGGTCTCCCTGCCAGTGAGCTACATCTCCAGCCACATGTACAGAGTAAGAGCATGGATATCTAAATCTGTGAAAATCGGCTTTTTAAAAAAAGCGTATCTCCTTAGCTGAGTTACTTCATTAATTTTCAGGGTTGTATATGTAAAATGTATAAATTCATCAAGATATAATACATTTTAGGTATTGGCAGTATTTTGTAAGAATACCACTACAAGGTGAAGGATCTATTATAGGTCATTTGCATCAATTATCCGATGATACAGAGGTCTTTCAGATGGTATCTGCCTAATGGCTGTCAATAAAATTGGATTCTTCTACTTGAAAAAGCCTAGAGAAAGCATTACTATGGAAGAAAAATCAATCTACTGTGCTCCTTAGTATTTTAAAGTGGTTTCTGTTAACGCTTGTCTTAGAACAGGTATATTGCTTGGCATCACACACTCAAGTCTTTAATACTTACTACATCAAGACTCCCTTTTCACAGTTAACACTTGATTGCCTATGAGCACATCATCATCACTATTTGTCTTTGAAAAATGTGCTGTTTTAACTTGATACTTTTTTCCTTTAAATCTTAATAGAATGGTTCCAATTAGTTCAAAGAGCTGAAACAAAAGGTTAGTATACTATAGTCATCATTCTCATTAGTGGATTCTGTATTTGTGAATTCAGCTACTCAATAGTTTATAATCTCAAAATCAATACTTGATACACTTAATCACTTTTGAACATCGACAGAATCAAACCATATGTTAAAACACAGCAATCAATGCTGTCTTTGTTTCAGCTCCCACAGTAAATACCCCTTAGGCTGTTCATTAACTGCCAAAATTTCACATTTTGTGCTTTTTACCAGTCATTTCTGTTTAAGATGACTTTCCAAAAGCCCATGCTGGTAAAGTGCTGTCTTACAAAAGTACAGAAAACTAGGCTATGCAAAGGGTGAGTTACATGGTACAGACATTCAGTTTTAAAGTATGTTTAAAATAAGGTATCTTTAAATAGAAACATGCATAATACAAGGTTATGCATTTGTTGATTGACAAAATATGACCAGAGGCTCAGAGGAATCCCTATCTTGCCCAGGAACGAACTTCAGTATTTGCTATTCATAACTTCAGAACACAATTATTGCAAATAATACGAACAATCTATGCCTTTACCCCTTGCCTCTCAAAGTAATTTTAAAAGTTATCCTTGGGGCTGGGGATTTAGCTCAGCGGCATAAGTGCCTGCCTTGCAAGCAGGCAGTTGTGAGTTCAATCCCTGGTACCAGTAAGAAAAAAGACAAAAAAAGTTATTCTGCACAACAGCTTTAGAAGTTTGGGCTTTATATTGTAAGTTGTGACAGATCTCAATACAGTTGTAAGATTTTTTTTTTTTTTTTTTTTTTTTTTTAGATACGGTTTACTGCAGTTCAGGCTGGTTTTGAACTTGCCATGATCCTCCTGCCATAACCTCCGAGTGGAGTGCTGGGATTACAGGCATGTGCTACTGCACCCGGCTTTTAAATTTTTAAATAAGGGTACACAATAGAAAGTAAACCAGAAGAGCTAATAAGCCCTTACTTTAAAATGCTCCTGAACAATTCCAACACTGAAAATGGTTATTTCCACTATTTTTACTTTAAAAATCCTTGATTTAGGAAAGTTTAGATGACAGTATAATTTATTACTGGGACTAATGGTAATTTACCTCACTTTATATATGTCCTCTGATTAAGATTCTTAAGTACAGGATTTTATGTTAGGCTGAAGGTTCTTTGCATTCAAATGTCATTTAAATTTGCTAGTGTATACATTCTTAGTACAAACGGTGTAATATTTTGGCATTGAGGGAATTTCAGTTTTTCCAATAGTGCTTAAGTTTGGTCATAAAATAAAAAGTTGGAGTACCTTTTAAAAAGGAACTTGCAAATGTTCACAGTCTTTAAGGCACTAGATGAATACAATGTAAATACTTCAAATTTTACATATTTTTATAGTTTTTAATTTAGCAAAGCAGATGGTCAGTGACTTTACCTAGCTAATTTCTTGAATCAGTGTGGGTAAACTTTTTCCTCCCATAGATAAATTCCTTGCTTAAACATTTTGTGCTAATTCCATCATACCACATATTTTAGTTACAGATTTATCTGTCTCATTATCCTAGGGGGCTCCTGAACAGGGATTTTGCCTTGAAGAGTACACACTTACCAGATTACATGCTAAGTGAATAAAATGGAACAGTGTTTCCAGTTAAATGGTTATTAAATATTAATCTCCAGATAATCTAGTCATTTTAAAGTGCTCAAATTTAAACAAAATAAAAACAAGGCCTTGATTTAGCTGTGCTAAATCATTTTGAGAAAGCTGTAGCTCAAGTGTTTTATTATAAAAAGTTGGTACTCATACATAAGCTAGTATAAACTGAAAATTCATAACATTTACTTCATTTTTTAGCTTGACCTTCTAGTAAATCTTTAGCTTCATTGATTTTGGCTGCAATATAAGGAGATCCTCCTACAGAAAGAAATGAAAAAGGAATCATTATGTAGAATTCAAATTTCTGGTAAAAAAAAAAAATCCAATGTATAAGAAGTGAAATTGACAAAATTGTTTTTACTTAAACTACAACCATATGTGATAATACATTTGATTCATGGAAAATGAGGTAATTTATATAAGGGTGATTTGTACAAAGTGATTTCTTTTTAGAAAGCTTAAAAATTGAACAGAAATAGGATTTTAACATACCTCATATTTGTGCTTCTAAAGTGTAGTGTAAGCCTACTCGTGATGATTACAAGTTACAAATATCAGTTTACTGTGTTATTTAGTCATTTAGTTTTGATACTGGGAGTTGAACTTACTACCTTGTGCTTGCTAAAAGCAGGCGTTATGCTGCTGAGTGATGTCCCCTACTGTGTTATTTTAAAAATGTGACATTCTCAGCAGTTTCTGGGTTCTGTGTTGGAAAGATCTGTGCTTGCTCTAGATTGTTCTTTTGTCCTTTCCAGTTTTTCTGCACCTGTGATCAACTACTTTCATTAAGGTTCTCTATAACTACCTTCCTGCTAATCTGATTGGAGCACTGTTGGCCAGATAGCAAGCAGCAATAGGAAACTTGGGATATGCATATTTATGGGCTCTGCCTTATTTTATACCTATTAAATCAGACCCTCTACAGGTAATAAAAACTAAATTTCATACACTGAGGTCAAATGCCAACCAAGAATTCTGTCAGAACCCTCTTTCTTAATGAAAGATGTCTCCTGTATGTGCACACTGCAATACTGATTTTTTTGGTCTATGATTTTTGTGGTGATAGTATCTAGTAATTCCGAGGAATTACTTGATTTCAACACAGAGCATCTCAAAAGTGTACCAGAAACAAAATTATCCCATAAGTTTCTAACTAGGTAATCTTCAGCTACATGTATTTAAACTGAATAGGAGTAAATCATTTTAATTAGTTGAAATTAACATTTGCTTTATTTATGAATGTAAAAAAAAAGTATTTGTAACCGTCACTACAAGTCAATTTTATCACAACTGTAGATCTCTGAACATTGTTAACATTTATTACTACTGTCAGTATTTCTCTTACATCTGCTCATTATTCTGTCTGCTTTTGTGTGTGAGAGTGGGTACTGGAAATCAAAATAAGGGCTTTGTGTATCCTAGGCAAGCACTCTACCACTGAACTACATCCCCAGCCCTTCTCTTACATCTGCTCAGTATTCTGTAATCAAATTTTTCACTCAGGTTTCATTCTTTTAAGCTATCAAAGATAGATGAATCCAGCCTGGGAGACTGCTTACCCACAGATTTAGGCATTTCCCTTAAAACAGCCAAGAGCTAGATGAAAAGTTATTCTATTAATAATAGTTACTCCAGCGACATGCAACAGTGTAATGATTACCTTTGTCTGGGTGATTTAAGAGCATAATTCGCCGATGAGCATCTCTTATTTTTCCTTTATTGGCAGTAGGGCTAATTAAAAAACGAAAAGGCATTAGTTCAAAAGCAAAAGAGGCAATTAAAGGTTGTGAAACTCATAAATTGGCAAAACTATGAAAAGCTATTATGGACCTCTTAGGTGTCAAACATTTTTTGAATCAGAATTAAACTACCTTGAAGGCATTCTCAAAATGTAGTTGGATTTGATTCATACTTAACAAACTCCTTTTAACGAAAAGGAAAATAAATTTAAATTAGGTATTTGGAAAAGGCAGAATTTTACCACAGAAAATTTTTTTACTGAGTTACACAGATCAGGGTGTACTGGGATAATCTGTTGTCTTTCAGTGAATGAAAAGGTGCTCTGTGCTAGTGTGCCTTCTCATCTGAATTTGTGTGTTTTCAGATCTTTAAGATGTGATGGAAAGAAGAGCAGCAAGGCTCCATTGAGTAAAACTGAAAATAATGATCTTCGTGGGACAAAATTCTCTATCTCCATCCTTTGTTTCCTTAGTTGTAAACAATATTAGAATTATTTTACCTGACACCTAGTATTAATGCTGCTTCCCGTTTTGTCATTTTGGGTTCAAATCCACCTCTATAATAGCCACCACTGAAGGCCTGAAAGGAAATGGCTTTACTTTTATACAGAAACAATAAACAGTTGCTAAAAGGAAGTGTAACATCAGAAAAGACATTCAGAAAACAATGTGTAATTCCTGTATTGCAGTTTTACAAAGTAGAAATATTTTTAGCAATTACTAAACATCAGTCCCCCGCCCCCATTATAAACTTTTGGAAACAGGAGTAACAGGAAGCCCATTCCTACTTAGCCATATTCTAGATAAAGTCTGATCTTGTATGATAACATTTAGAACAGAAGTATTATCAAGAAGAGGGCCTGAGGTCTTCGGAGATAAGTTCAAAGTAACCAGTAAAATGAGACTTTGCGTGGAGACAATCATGCTACCTTACTAGGTCAGAAAACATTTTGGTAGAGCCTAGCATCACTTTATCCTCATATGTTTAATTACAACATAAAAATATTCAACAGGTTTCCAGAACGAAATTCGTTCTTAACTGTCAAGAGTGGTTACTACCCAACTGTAGTACTATCTAGGTATCTTAGGGAGTGCAAGGGCTACACACCAAGAACGGGTCACTTTGGATCCCTCTGTGTTTTTGATGCAGAGCAGATGACGGAAGGCAAGAAAGTAGATGATAATGAAGTTAATAGTATGTGAACAGTAAATGCTACATGCCCCTTCATTGTCACGAAACATTTGACTTCTTGGTGAAGCACCATTCCAAGTTCTACATCCTCGTTGTGGAATGCAAAAGAAGGGGCCAAAAGCAATTATTGAACTTTATGGATGTTTGAAAATTTACCTTTCCTAAGTGTGGCTTTAGGCTTTAAACAAAATTAGCAAAAATAGTAAGTCTTACTGATTTTGGTAGACTCTGAAAAACTTGTTTTACTTGAGGTTCCATATGCTTCATGGCTTGTAAAACATAACGGCCTAAAACCAAAAGGAATGGAATAAGCAAATTAATGCCCACTCTCCTCACTTCATTTCTGCCCCCAAACCATAAACAAACCTGCAAATCCTGCAGCAGCAATGGTCAGTCCAACTGCTATCACTGTACTGGCCTGGTAAAGGGGAAAAAAAATATGTTTAGCTCTTTAATTTTCACTTGCCTTATCTCTACTCTCTCAGCCAAACTAGAAGTGCAATGAGATAAAAAATCTTTAAGGTGGACATCGTTGAAACTGCTGTAACTTCTCACGATGCATTGTAACCATCTGAGATTATTACTATGGAAGAAAAGGAGCAAGCCAGCTTGCTTATTTACCTGCACAGCAGTGAATAAGGTTCACTCCCTCCCTCTGAAAACTTTCACCCGCAGGGAAGTAAGGTCTCATCAAGAGCAGTGAGAATAAGACTTCTGCTTCAGAAGGACAAAGGGTCTGCAGAGGGTTCTTGGAAAATTGTCATTAGACATTTTCAACACCAAATGTGGGCAAAACTAGTTTTTCAGATGCTAACTGCCGTTTTCTAGCAAAGAGGCCCAAATATATATTCAGGAAGCAGTGATTAGGGATTTCTGTCAGCAGCCACCTGAAAGGACAGTGCAACGTGAAGTAAGTAGTGTGAGGATGTGCTAGGGGAAGGACAGGAAATATGCGTTTCCACTAATGTCCAAATCTAGGACAGCCTTTGATCTTACAGAAATTTAAAGGGGCACTGTCTCCGCAGCCAGAGATAAGGACAGCGGGCCTGGGGTTGGAATTCCTCGCTAAGGAATAGCTCAGCACGAAAAGATCCAAGAGCGCTGCACCACCAGTTTTGTGGCCTGGGGGTGTGAGGCCCTCTCAATCCCAGACCACCAGGGACCCTAGCTCAGCTCCACTGCTCCGGAGCCAGGAGCCGAGGTGAAGGTCTGGACGGGAGGTCACCAGAGACACCGGGAGGTGGCACTCACCATGTTTCGGGCCCGGCTCTCCTGCCTTAACTGGGAATGCGGTTCATCTCAGCCCAGAGGACAATGGCCACCAACTACCTATTGCTACCAAAGAAAGACACTACCACTGCCACTGGACCCAAACCTCCCAAGTACACGAGCACTACGAAATACGGCAGTAACGGTCGCAAACTAAGCCGGAAAACTGTCGTAAAAGAAGACCGAAAAGGAGGAGGTAAGGTGGCTGCGGCAGTGGGAGGGCGCAGAACCAGGCTTTGGGTTGGCTGAAAAGTGGGCGGGCCGACTTTTTTCGGGGTTTAAGGGTGGGACCTGTCCTGTCCTTTGCTCTTTGCTCTGAGCCTTTTAGGATTTGGAAGTTCTTGTCAGGCAGGGCCTGAGTAAAGAAGAATAGGGGGAATAGTTTTGTTTCTTACCTCCTAGCACCCCGCGTTGCCATTTATAGTGGGTTGTTTCTAATTATCAAGGGCAGCGAATGTACTTAGTCACGTTGTGACGGATTTCCACCATGAAGAAACCTGTAGTAACCTTATGTGGCCTCTTCTTATGTCCAGAAAACCAAACGAACTATTATAATATTAAGATGTTGCTCGATAGGGTTCTTTTAATAAAAAAAAAGACCTTCCAAAAAAACTTTCAAGATACAAATCAACAGGTCTTAGGTGAATGTTTGGGTTATTTTTAGAATGGGTTTTATGTGAATGTTTGGATTATTTTTTTCGAACGGTCTTCCACTTCATACAGTATGCTGATCTTGGGATCTCAACATTCTGCAACTGAAACGAGCTCTAAATTTAAGCCCTCTGCAGTCTCCAACAGAAAACAGGGGTTGAGTTTGACCTTTCAGTGCATCTATTTCATATATGTCTACATAAATACTTGAGAGAATAACGAAGACAATGATGGAAGTTTTACAATGTGATGTCTGGATGACTGGAATAAATTTGTAGTTACTCCCGATTTGGAAATTACAAAGTATTAAAAATCTGCTTGCAGTGCAATTCTGCTTTAATGGGATAGTTGTTCATTAGATAAATACTATTAGAACATTCTAGTGCAATAGAGAAGCAAAAAGTACAAAATGAACAGGTTTATTGAGTTGAGGACGTGGAAAGGAGCACACAACCCATGGCAGCTGGGCAGTCTGACCAGATACAGAGAGGCAGAGGGTTATTTATGATCTCTGATGTGAAGTTGCGCATGGGGCGGATATTGATGACGTATGAGGCACCGATTGGAATTCTCTGTGTGTCCAAACAGGAAGGGGAGTTGCAATTAGGGCTGAAGGAGAAGCAGGAAGTGGAAAGCGTTCACACTTTGGCCTTCTACCACGTTAGACCACCACCATAATTGAACAGTAATTTATACTAGGACAAAAACCTTTCAAATGCAGGTAGGCGAATATTTTGGCCTTGCCATCCTCATCTACAAACATAGTTTCCATTTGGAACTCCAAGAACCCTTGTAGCTCTAAGAATTTTTTTTCTTTGGTACTGGGTATCTAACCCAGGACCTTGCACTTGCCAGGCAAGTGCTGTGCCACTGAGCTATATTCATTCCCCTGCCCGAAGAATTTTTTTGTTTTTTTAAGACAGGGTTTCACTATGCAGTTCAAGTTGGCCTTCAGCTCACTTCATAGCCCAGGCTAGTCTCAAACTTGCAGTGATCCTCCTGTCTCAGCCTCCCAAATGCTGGGATTACAGCATGAGCCACCACACCTGGATCCCCTGCCCTAATAATTTTATGATGGAATTGTCAACACATTATTTAAGATGACATACAAAACTAACATATTAGTATAAAGTGTACCCTTTTTCCTTTTTTCATCTTTATCTAGTTTTTACCCAATAAATACAAAATAAATAATCAGGGAGGTGTAAGAAAGACCTAGGGAACAATTTGATAAATAAGGAGAAGAAAATGAAGAGGAAGAGAAACCTACAATGCTACTTGGGAAAATTCATTATGCATATTTTTGCTGTGTGTAAACTATGGTTGCTTGAGGAAGAAGGGTTACCATACAGAAGCCTTGCCTCAAAAAACTGGAAGTAGGACATATAGAAGACCCTTTATCCAGGTAGTTATAGCTTTAGTTCTGGAAGTAGATCCAACTGGATGGATAAGATAGTTCTTTCACTTACTAGTTCAATGAGTCGGATAAATTGTTTTTGACTCTTGAGTTTCTCATTTGTAAAACAAGGGCATCATGATAGCCTTGCCAAGTTTTTGGGTGGTTAAAGGTCATGTATACAGTGTGCTCTGGACATAGTCATCATTCTGTGTGGGGCCTTATTCTGAGGGAAGCCACAGTAAAAGTTGGTGTGCAGAGACCTGCTTGATTCTAAGGACATTGCACTTGTGGATGTTAATTTAGTTCTGTCTTCCCTGCTGACAAAATTCTGAAAAAGCCTTTAAAAATGCTCATAGAATACTGAATGGATGAATAATTATTCCTTGCTTCTTCTGGTTTCTGATGACTGCCAGAATTTCTTGACTTGTTTCTGAATCACTCTAGTATGTCCAGTGTCTTGACATACAACTCTACTTTGCCTTCATAATGCCTTTGTGTCTGTTTAATATATCTTTCTGCTTCTTTCTTAAAGGATATATGTAATTGAACATATAATACAGGACGGTCTTCCCTCCTCAAGACCCTTAATTTAGGCTTAACAGCTTCAAAGAGGTTACAGTATAAGATAGTAATCACAGATGCCAGGGATTAGGTCCTGCCATCTTCGGGTGCTATTATTTAGTTTACTACAGAGAATGAAAGTAGAAGAAAAAAACTAGAAAGAACAAGAATGTGTGCTCAATTTGTGTTTCTAAATTTGTCAATTAGTTAAATCACTTCTTGAAGAGTATAAGAGGTGAGAGGGAGTAGATATATAAATTTTCTTCTTATATTGTGATGGTCAATTTTCTACCATGACCTTTAGTAAACATATTTTACATTATTTATTGATTGATTTATTTTTTACTTTATTTTTTTATTTTTTTATTTTTTTTTTATTTATTTTTTTTTTTTTGATATTTCGTTTCTTAACTTTTAATTTTTTTTTTAATTTTTTTTTTAAATTTTATTTAAGGAGAAAAGAAAAAAAAGCAGAGAAAGGGTACAAGTTATACAGATTTGCAGAAAAAAAATGAACAGTAGGAAATTACTAGTTAATGGATTACATATTGTCATCTTAGAAATAATTGTTCAAGTCACAAAATTAAAGCTTGTAAAGTGGACATTCCATCAATGATACTGCAAACAGTTCTGTTCAATGATCCAATAAAACTCTGTGATATCATTTTTTATCTTATACACTTAAATATACATGCAGTTATATAGTACAGAGCACTTTCTTTTCCTCTCTTTTGTACAATGACTATTACACATTTTGGGTTTCATTGCTCCCATGGTTCTTATTACTTTTTTGGAAGAGAGTAAAACCAAATGTGACATAACAGAACAGAATCGGTCAAGTCAAAAGGGTGGACATAATAGATAATGTGAAAACATAATACAAGGTGATCAACAATGGTTACCATAATGCCTCCCGCTATCTCTAATAGAATTGCCTATATTGTTAGTTACAATACAATTGAACAAAACTGTAAAGAATAAAACCGACAAAACCAAAACATTGGAGACATTGTAGGTCTTCAAAAATAGATAAAAGTCAATGAGAATGGGCGTTATAATGAATCTCATTATCTTCACAGCTGATGCCTAAATTTTCGAACCTGATACTATCCAGCAAAACAGAATGGGGGAACATCAGTTAAAAACCAGATGGTGAGAGTAATACAGGGCTTTAAATCGAGGTAATGGAAAGTCAAAGTGGGTTACTATAATATATCCTGCTATTTTTTCCTTTAATTAAAAGGATAAAAATAAAAAAGTAAATAATGGAGTGGAGATTGAGATAAAAGAGGGCATAACAACGAAACAGCACAGATCAAAACATAACCATTTAAGCAGAATAGTGTTTCACCACCAGATAATCCTGACCTAAAAGTAGTTACCATATTATCTCTTTCCTTGAAATCCTTGAGTACAACTTCGTATACTGTAGCATTAAGTATATCAAAACAATGTAAAACCATTCAAGAGAATGACAGCATTACAGAGTATTTAGAATCGACTAACAGAAAATGAACAATGGTTTCTGTATAATCTCCTTGTCTTTAAAAGGTTTTTGCTTATACTATCATACATAATAAAATCCAGTAAGATACAACCTATTTGGACCATTGGAGACAGAAGGACAAAAGCTAGATGAGACTTCAAAACAAGATGATACTAAATCAGTATTACCTATTAAGATGTCATTTTCTCTAAAATAGCTGTTCCTACCATCCAATCTTCTCTGCCTCATTTCTGTTGAGCTCTTATTCTGTCAGTAGCTGTCAGTTTGTCTTCTTCACTTTGTTCTCTGCTCCATTTGTTGTGGCCTCCATTATTTCTGGATTCTTTGTATTTTTCTTTTTTTAGAATATCCTGCAATACTCTCTGTAGAGTTGAATTGGTGGTTGCAAATTCCCCCAGTTCCTCTTTATCCTGGAAGCACCTTGTTTTTCCATCAATTTCGAGGGACAGTTGTGCAGGATATCTCAATCTTGGCTGGAGATTATTATCTTTCAAAGCTTGAATTATTTCCCCCCAAGCTCTTCGTGATTTGATGGTTTGTGCAGAGAAATCTGCTGTAATTCTGATGGGTGCTCCCTTGTAAGTGGTCTGCTTCTTGTCTCTGACAGCTTTTAATATTCTGTTCTTGTATTGAATTTCTGGAATTTTTATTATTATATGCCTGGGTGTTGCTCTGTTTGGGTTGTAGGTAGCTGGGGTCCTGTATGCCTCATACATCTGAGTATCTTTACCTTTTGCTAAATTAGGAAAATTCTCCTGGATTATTTCTGTGAGTAGCTTTTGTAGTTCATTTGTTTGTGTCCCTACTTCTTCTTTTATGTTCTTAATCCTTAAGTTATGGCTCCTCTTATCATCTTCTTGTCTTTGTATTATTGCTGTTTGTTTCTTTGTTATTTTTAAGAAGTTTTTCATTTCATTCTCCCATATTACAATTCTGCCCTCCAGTTCAGATAGTCTGTCCTTAGTTTCTTTCAAGCTGTTATGCCAGTCTTCGATAGACTTCTTAGTTTCTTGGTAGTCCCTTTGAACCTGCTTCACGTATTCTA